ATACGGAGGAGAAAAAAAAATTCGTTCGCCACATAAGAAATTTGGCGACCAGGAATTCGTACTCATACGGAGGAGAAAAAAAAGTTCGTTCGCCATAATAAATTTGGCGATCAGGAATTCGTATTCATACGGAGGAGAAAAAAAACATAAGAAATTTGGCGACCAGGAATTATATATATTCATACGGAGGAAAAATAATCGTTATACATAACAAATTTGGCGACTAGGAATTCATATTCATACGGAGGAAAAAAAATCACCCGCCATAACAATTGGGCGATGAGGTATTCGAATTCATACGGTGGAAAAAAAAATCACACTGCATAACACGCACTAAAACGTATTTTCTGATTTCGTACGAACCAGGATGAAAGTATGTCTCCTTTATTTATGCCGCTGCCAATACAATTTCAGTGCAGTTGCTTTGCTCCTCCCCTTCTATCACAACTTCATGTTGTGCATTTATATACAATAATAAAGCATTAAGAAATCATTTGGCCTATATGGCCTGAGTATACCGAAAGGTTGAAAACTAAGGTAGGTGAATGGCTGATCTTCTAATTTATATATATATATATATATATATATATATATATATATATATATATACACAAACAGAGGAACACACACACAGAGAGACACACACATACGCACATACAAAGAAACACACACACACGTACACATACTGAAATATACACACACACACACACACACATATATATATATATATATATATATATATATATATATATATATTTGGTTGGATAGATGTGAGTTTGTGACCCTGGGTTTCACGCTTTAGCGATCGTCATATAATAAGTACCGCGCATATAATATATAATTATACATATATATATTTATTTATATTTATATACACTTTTCACATATATATATATATATATATATATATATATATATATATATATATATATATATACAGAGGGGGGATAGATATATAGACAGGAAAATGAGAAGACACTGATATATGGAAAGACGAAGCATGCAAAAAAAATGTTTTCAGTACCTCATTCCTAATGGCATGACAGAAAGTAAGGCAAATTTTCACTCTTCTTATGGCCTAAGGTTAATGGCTGATCTTATATATATATATATATATATATATATATATATATATAAAACAGAGGAGACACACACATACACACAAACAAACAAACACACACACACACACACACATATATATATATATATATATATATATATATACACACACACAGGGGGATAGATATATAGAGAGGGAAAATGAGAGAGGACACTGATATATGGTGAGACGAAGATTGTTCAAAATGTTTTCAGTACCTCATTCCTAATAGCATGACAGAAAGTAAGGCACATTTTCACTCTTCTTATGGCCTAAGGTTAAAGCCTTTGTCTTCTTTTCTTGCGTTGGCTATGTACCAACCTTCTACTTCTGCTCAAAAGAAAACAGGGATTGTTATTCAAAAGACTTCCAATTAGCAGCGTGCAAATCATTACTTGTTTATTTTAATGCTTTTTTTATTTATTTAGTGCGTGCCGCTTACTAGTAAAAGAAATAGCTTGCTGATTTTGTTTTTGAACGACGATGTCCAGAATCTTTTACTAAAAGCGAATAGGTTTTCCCCAGAGCTCAGATATTAAAAAACAAACGAACAAACAAAAGAACAAAATAAAAGAACAAACATAAACTTCGCATAGTCTATACACAATTTCGATCCCAATATACAGTATGATTTTCTAAAATTGGAAAAATACAATAAAAGATAAAACGAACAGACATTGTCGGTTGGATAAAATCAAAATTGTTCGGATGAATACACACACACACACACACACACATATATATATATATATATATATATATTTGGTTGGATAGATGTGAGTTTGTGACCCTGGGTTTCACGCTTTAGCGATCGTCAGACAAACTGATTAATGTTTTAAAAAATTTGGGTTTATGTAGATTGCGTGTATTGGTGTTATTGTGGAAGTGGTGGGGGAAATTTCTTCGTTTTGTCATTCATCGTACTAACGCAAACATCGATGTATGCAGACACATATACACACTTGGTCGTCCGTCGGGACTCATACATATATAAACATATGTGGGCAGTTTCGGCTATGACACATGTATGTATGCGGGTGGTGTTATATCTATACATACGCATTTGTATGTTGAAATGTTGAAATCTAAACATTGGAAGTGTGACGGAAATGTCTCGTTGATGTGTACATGTCATATGTATTTTCCAGCTGGAAAATATTTCCTCGCATGTATGTATATGCGTGTGGTGGGGTTTGTGTAAAATTATGATAGGTAAAGATTATTATTATTTATATTTATTTTTAAATTTTTGAAAAAAAAAATGGGGCTTTGTTTGTTATATTTAAAGCTGGTTATTTGTTTGTTTTTGGTGACTGTGTATATGTAACAGGTAGAAATTTGTAATACTTATTGGTTAATTTATATGGTGATGTTTAGTTTAATATTCAATGTGCTGGGTGGGAGGGTAGTTCAATTTAATAACGGGTTTATATGGTATGATGTGATAGTAATAGGGGTTGGAGACAGAAATTAAATTGTGATTGTTGGTGGTTTGTTTGTTTTATCCGTTTGGTATGAATTCGGATAATAGGTACTTGTTCTCATGCCTACATTTGGAGATTATCTCTGATTTTTATTTAGTAAGATCTTGTAGGCAAAGTAGGCATTTTTTCGTAATGTTGTTGTAGGCAGGGGCTTTTTTCAATATTTCCCAACTTATTGTTGGTGCGATGTTTTTGTCTTTTTGCTGCCATATGTATGTAGAAAGTGTTGTGCTGTTCGAATATTTCCTGTTGTTGAATGAAAGGTTGTGATTGTTATTCCTCATTTTGAATGGGCCTTCGGTGGCACCGATGTAGTGCATAGTGTTGTTGTTTGTACTTACCTTGGCCATGTATATAGTGTTTGTAAGTTGGCAATTTCCTGGAGTGGACATGTTGTTTTGTTTCTGCAGTTGCATATTGGATCCTTGGTTACATTTTTTGTAGGTTGTCATTTTTTTTGTTGTGGCTTTTAATTATTTCTGTTATGTTTTTTGTACAGCTGTAGCTGATCTTTACGTTATTTTTGTTGAATATTTTGATAATTTATTTTCTTCAGCGAAGTGTTTTTCTATTAAGTTTAGGAATATTTTGCCTATGTTCGTTTTAACAGTTTTGTTATATGGTGGATTAAACCAGATAATGCTTCTCTTTCTGTTTCTGCGTTTTGGCTGTGGAGGTATATATTGTAGTTGTTGTGTGTAACCACTTGCTTTTTAGTGCTTCGTTGTATGGTGCTTTTTTACTATTGAAAATGTGTATGTTAGATGAGTTCTCAGATAGTCTGCGGCTGATTGATTTTGGTATTTGTTTGATGATAGAAGGTGGGTGGTTGGAGGATGTGTGTACGTAAGTTGGGGTGTCATTTTTTTTTGTATGGTTCATACGTGTTGTTGATCAGGTTAAGAGTGACGTCAAGGAAGTTTACTATTGTTGTGCTTGTACTTATCTCTATTTTGAATCCAATGTTTTTTAGGGCGTTCACTATTTTCTTCCTGAATTTGTCTACTTTGGGGCCATTGGATTCCCTTATTAAGATAAGACCGTCATCTCTGTATAATCCTGTGTCCTTTCTCTCCAGGATTCTGGCCAGGTATGATAGGATGAGTATGCCTACTAATTCGCATATTTCTGCTCCATCGTAGCTGCCCATTGTTACGTCAAACAGGTTGTGGTTTTGTTTCTTTGCCCATGGTTCATTGTTGTGGAACAGCAGGGATTTGCGGCAATGCTTGATTATTTTTATATCACCGTCCGTGAGTTTTACATTTAGCTGTGTCAGTTGTATGGCTTCATTTATTATGCTGTCTGTAATGGAAGGATAAAAATCCACAATGTCAAATTGGAGGAAAGTGGATTTATTCTTGTTGTCTATCGTTTTAAACCACTCTATGACGGCTTTGATGTTCTTCCACTGGTTGAGACCTAATTTTTCTCTTAGGGTGGTGTTGATATTTTCTAGGATCTTCTTACTAATTTTTCCTATCTCGCTCTTCGCCGGGTTGATTAGTCTGAATGTGGGTTTTTCTATGAAGCTGGCTTTGTGGTCCTTTGCCGTGATGAAAGCATGATGTTCAGCTAGTTTGTTTACTCTTTCATCTATATTCAATTTGGTGGCTATGTTTTTGGCTTCTTGGTTTATGATGTTTATTGTGTTCATATTTGTTTTTTGTATAGTTGTGTAATTTTGTTGGTTAAGAGTTGATTGTAGGCTGTAGGTTCTATGGTATATATGTTTGTGGTTTTGTCAGCCAAAATGAATACTTTTGTTGGAGTTGATTATTTTTTTCCTGTCGTCTATGATTTTTTCTGGAAATTGTCCAAGTGTCTTTTGAATTTCAAGGTTCTAACTATATTTATCATGTCCTCTTCGAATTTTAACATTTTCTTGCATATTGGTGGACACTTTTTTGTATTAAAGTTGAATGTCTTGGTTTTTCAGTTTTTTGGTTTTTTGGGTCGTTGAGGGAAAAATATGCCTTCCATCTCATTCGTCTTATTAGACTTTCGATTTTTTCTGTTAGTTGGAGTTTGTATGAAGCTTGGGTAGGTATGGGGATGTTTTTCAGTGAGTATCGTAGGTCAAATTTATCCATTTTTGTTAAAAAGAATAGCGCGAGTGTTCAACCCGTGGGGGAGCGAAATATATGTGAAAAGTGTATATAAATATAAACAAATATATTATAATTATTTTATATATTATATACGCGGTACTTAATAAGCGCTCAATATCAGAGATATATATTTGGTTATATAAATAATTATACATATATATATTTGTTTATATTTATATACACACACACACACACACACACACACACACACACACACACATATATATATATATATATATATATAATGATATATTTGGTAATCCGTATGGATAATTCTAAAGAAGATATTGGTCAAGAGAGGTCAAC